TTAGAGTATGATGCTATAATTATAGTAAGTAGTTTTTATAGGTACCTATCCATTTTGTAGGTATAATACATTCTATTTTGACCTGGGTGCCAATTCCAGATGCATTTCAAAAAAATCATCCCAACGAAAATATGTAATTTTTTTATATATTACTATATTTATGACGYATTTAGCAAGAATTTGTAGAATAAATTTCATGCATTTAGTTGATTAATCAAAATTTAATAATGGGTGACGTACTGACGTGTGGATCAGTGATATTATATCTCCAATCTCGCACCCATTACACAAATTAAATTGAAATTTATTGAAATATTACATTTTAGTAAATATTTACATGACTAGTCCTAAAACGTTACCTGTTAGTTTGCCATAACATTTTTCTTAATTAGTACATGTACAACCTAATATCCAAATACCTTGCGTATAAATATATTCTAGTCGCGTATTGGATAAATTTAATAGCAAGAAAAATTAGGTTGTGATATGAATGGGGTTAGAGAAATATTAAGTCACTGAGTCCAACCTTACAAAACCAAAATCGTGTAAATTGTGAAAGATTGTATTGTTAAAATATTCGCTAAATAACTGCATAAAAAACGAACAATTCCGTATTTCCTAAATCGACGGGTATACCGTATACCTAAACAAATAACATGATGTAAATATTATAATACATTACATTTTTCATATTGCTTTAAGTTTTAACGTTATCGAATCACTTATAATTAAAAATAAGTTTTGCACATAATTTATGTAGTAAATATTAATATTTTAATATAATAGGTGCATAATTACCTGAATATTATGTTGGACGCAGTTTTGAGATTTTTGCCTCCGTACTGTTTTTCGACATCGTCTGTGGACGGTTTGACGTCATATCGATTTTCACAGTACTCCGCGTAGCTTTCGAAATCCCAAGTGTTCGCTTCGAATATATCGTCCTCGCCGCCATTCGTACATAACGGCATTATCATTTCCGTACAAGCCTGAAAAATATCTCATCACATGGCCATATAGAAATATTTAAATTTTATTTCGAACAGTTATACAAAACCGATAGTGTTACAATATTATTAAATTAACTTTTATGATTTGAGATGCATAGTTTCGAATCGAAGCTAAAATAAATATCAGCTTTAATAATAAGTACAACTATAATTATATAGGCGCAACTAGATTTAAATTTCTAAGAGGAAGGTGATCAGCTTTCCAAAGAAAATATCTTATATCAACTTAAAATAACCCATGTGGGCCCAGGGCCGGATTTAGGAGAGGGCTGAGTGGGCTGCAGCCCAGGGGCCCCCACAAATTCAGGGCCCCGCCAATGTCATGATATTTAAATTAAGATATAGAAAAAATATTTTATTTATATATTAAATACTCATATTTACACATATGTGATTAAATAATATTGAACATTATTTGGACATTAAAAAAATTAATTTTACTAACTATATACTATAATAATAGATGTATTCGTGTTTGTTGACAATGACCGGTGTCCAAGTATTTATAGATAAGATAGGTTTTTATGCCATCCGTAATCGGTTATCGGTGTTGATTTTCAAAACGTTATTGATAA